GAGGGGGCAAGGGGTAGGAATGAGAGTGGAATGAGTTAGACATCATTACCCTAAGTACATGTATGAAGACACGAATGGTGTGAAAATACTTTGTGTACCACCAGTGACTTGAAAAATTGTGCTCTATATGTGTAATATGAAATGAATTGCATTCTGCCATCATGTATAACAAATTAGAATAAATAAATAATTTAATTTAAAAAATCTTAATGATCTTAAAGATTTTTCCTTCTCTTTTCTCCCATATATACTTGCAGCCCTCCCCAATCCAGAAGAAGAACTGGTGGAGCTCAAGGAAGGGAGAAATCATGATGGGATGGAGTGAGATGGGATAGAATGAATAAGCAGGATAGAAGAGTTTTGTGGAATTCGATTTACATTTAAACAATGGCCTTTTCTACTAATCTATGAAGAATCTTTAATGAAGGGCTAAAATATTTGTCATTTGAGGGTGTTTTAGCACCAAGATTGTAACATGCATTAATGGACTTAAGATGTCTGTATTTATCTAATTGGACTAAACGACTTCCTTTATTGCTTTTTTTTTTCATAGAAATGAGCATATGCTACTACTTGTTATTAGTCTATCAGACTTCTTGGCAGTTGTATTTCCTCACTGCAAAACAACAAATAGACATTCTGACTTATGACTCCATTTCTTTTGTGGTGTTGATTAGTACAAATATTTCTCAGGAATTTGCTCATGCCTGAGAAAGCTTTCCTCACTGGCCTTGAAATCATATCACACAGATGTCCATGTTAGACAGAAATGCAAACAATACTGAAGTAAGGTATACAAGTGGTTTTAAGTCTTTGAATTTTATGGAGAGACACATGCAGTATATACACTTATATATTCTTGGAACATGATTTGTATTACAACTAAATCTCTGGCTGTACAAATGGCTTAAAGACAGAATAGTCAAATATTACATTGCATTCATAACATGTTGTACAACATTATTTTTATCCTTAGCTTTTAATCTTAAGAATCAATGGGCTTCATGGAAGTAAAAGGTAATGAAAAAAAGATAATGTGTTTACAGAAATACTTCTTAAATACTAGAATATTTTCTTCACATTGAAATGTGCAGAATTTTTGCAGGGCTAATGGCAACCAGAAGGCTGGATCCTATTAATAGGACCAGGAGTAGGAGGAGACTGCTAAGACAAAGAGTGAAGCCCCTGACCAAGAAGTGTCATATAAGGTGTAGAAAGTAACTGGCCCTACTCCGTCGACATGCAAAGGAGTGGTTGGTTATGTTGTGTGTTTTTATCATCCTGGAATGGATGGAATTTAAACAAAACCCTTTGAATGGTGTGAATTTTCAGTTGCTTTCATATTTATCACTTTAATAGATTTGGAAAATACCCATTTGATGCATGAGGAAATTAAAATATAGAGACGTTAAGTAACTTGTTAGAAAGCACACAGCTGATTAAATATCAAAGTGAGGATGAAATCCCAGTTCCCAAGGCCCAGAATCCTTCCCACTGAGACTTGTGCAACAAGATAGTTTAGAATAGTCACTGTTAAGCTATGAGATACCTTGAAGCAAAAATTCCCAATATTGCTTATGTTAGAATAACTCAACATTTATTTGGGGACTAAGGTATGTATGAGGCACCATGATAGTTATTGTTGGGTGGGGGAAATTTAAAAAAAAAATAAAGAAATAACCTGGTACCTTCCCTCAAGACTCTTGGCATTTTTGGAGGAAAATAAGAATTATATTTCTGTAGTTCTTATTTCTATAGGTCCACTTTCTCTTTTCTGAAGAGGTAGACACTGTCCATTTATGTCCATGGTCATCTCTTTGATATGTTTTCTCTAAACAAATTTTGATTTATTTTATAGTCTTGGCTACCACATTCTCCAGATTTAACTTTGCCTCCATCTTTTATCCATCTCTCATATTTAGGGCCTTTATTTTTCTCATCACCCATCAGATATTTCTCCTTGAATTCTTTTCATCGCCTCAAACTCAATAGATCAAACCCAGAACTCATTATGTCCTGCATTCCTGCTTCTATCCCCAAGTTACCTATTTCTGTGAATAGCAGTGATACCACTGCCCAGATTCCACAGGCTTAAAACTTTAGACATATCTGAATGCAATATCTGATGTATTCCTCTCCTATGATGATTGCATGTACTCACTCATCAACTTTTATTTTTTTTCCTTTTAAATGCCTCTTGAGTCCCTCTCATTCCATTGCCACTGTCACCAATATAACCTAGAGCCTCATTAACCTCTAAGTTTATTTTCTAGTTTTCACCAAATATAGTGAAACTGATGAAATTCTGCTGTATTCATTTACTCACAATATTTTTCTAATAAGTCTTTACATATTCAAAGTTTACTGATAATTTCCCATTAGAAAGTGCTGGAGATTCAGTATCTAATAATTCACCCATAAATTTCTATTCAAATTTATTTTCTGTTATTCTCTAACCCAAATCTCTTTACTCAGTCCAGATCAGGTTCTTTGGTCTATGCTCTATCCTGGTCCTGGGTATTCAAATAAAAGTTGCTCCATCACTGAGCTACTTCCCTAGCCCTTATTATATTCTTGTAGATCTGTGAGACAGTGTCTTACTAAGTTCTCTGGGCTGGCCTTAAATTTGTGATCCTTCTGTTTCAGCCTTCCATGTTTCTGGGATTACAGGTCCTTCTACCATGTCTTTCTCTGTTAAACTCATCTTGGCACAGTTTATTTCTGACATCATTTCTGTGATCAACATTGAATTCGAACAACCTATTTTGGCCACATACAATGTACACAGAAGATTTTCACAGCATGGTTCCAAATCCTAGATATTCTTTTAGGACTATCTTATTTTTGTTTCCTCTCTGAAGCCTTCTCTATGCAAACTATCTTCTTCTCTGAACTCCTTTGCCATTAAAATGACTTTGGTTTACTCTTTTCTATTTTTATCTTTTATAGGTTCTACAAACACTTTAAGTTCCCCAAGGGCAGGAACCATGTCTTATAATTTACTTTATACCACTAATTGTATTGAGCTTGATCAACACTTGTTTAATTGGACTACATCAAACTTGAGAAAAATGATGTTCAATAAGAATTTGAGAAATATCAAAATGAATCAAAATAGAAGTTCACACAGAGTTATGCTAATTGCTAGATTGGATAGTTACTCTTCTTGGTATCAAACCTACAAGGTAGACTATGTACCTTAAGAATCAGTGCTTTCCCTTTAGAATCCCTCATTGGTTAATAACACTGCAACTGCAAATTTACAATTTTCTGAACCATGGAAGAATCTTGCTTTTATCCCAGATAAATAGCTCATAAATGCCTTGAAATTTTGATTAAAGACAAGAGGGAGAAGGTAGTGAAAAGTAAAAATTGATGATTCTGGATTGGGAAGACATTGATATGTGAGTTTCAGCCTTGGCTCAATCTGCAAACTTTCCTTAACCTACCATTTTGTATGGGCTCACTGGTTCCCAGGCTGACTTACTTTATTTGCAGGAAGTGTTTGGCTGTCCTAGTCTATATTTAGGGAAGCTGAGGAGCACTTTTTTTGTTAAAGAGATGGAATTAAATATAACATTTGTGGTTATTTACTGTATAGACATAGGTAGTTTTTAGTATTAATTGGGTTATTAATAATAAAACAATGACAGAAAAAATATTTTTGAATGATTAAAACTTGTTGCAATAGGGCTGGGGTTGTGGCTCAGTGGTAGAGCGCTCACTTCACACGTGTGAGACCCTGGGTTTGATCCTCAGCACCATATAAAAATAAATAAACAAAATAAAGATATTGGGTCCATGTATAACTAAAAAATATTTTTAAAAAACTTGTTGCAATAGATATGGTAAGCTTAAAATTGTCTGGAAACAAATTTAACTAATATGTTTAAAATACAATGCCATTCATTATATTCTATACTACATTCTAAAAAATATAATTATATTGAAAATAATATACAAAGAAATCTATGTTTACTTACATTTTCCTTTTAAATAATCATTTGCTAAATATATGTGTGTGGCCTCTCTATAGATTTCAAAACAATTTCAGAAAACTGGATATCAGAACCCCACTAAATTCAAAGAAGTAGATCCCACAAGTTCATTTATTTGTTCACCCTTGAAAATAACTTCTTTGCTGCTAAGGAAAAAATGCTCCTTTCCACAAATTTTATAAAATGCATAAATTTTTGGTTCTGTATTAACCTGGTCTATGTCAGATACTTTTAAGTTACAAAATATGTCATATAATTTTCTTATATTTGTTTTCAGTTGAGAGAACTTTCTTTTTGCAATTTCTAGTCAGCCCTTGCCTGTTTCTAGTTGTATGGTATGTTTCAAGAAAATTTCTTAACCTCCTTCAGTTTCTTTCCTCATTTTTCAAACTGATAGAGCAAGAGCAGCATGAACCCTATTTTAATTATAGGATTTGTTGAGAGGTCCAAGTGAGATAATGAGTGTGAAAATACTTATGAAAATGCCAGGTTACTCTTCACTGTTTGATTTACCTTCAGCAATCACTATGTATTATCTTTCTACAGTGAAGGAAACTGCCTCAACATTAGAGACACCTCCCTGAGCCCTTTAAATAGGATTTAAAGATAAGTTTTACATATGTGGCTTGATCACAAAGGTGCTAGAGGCTTGGGGAGTGCCTGCTTCATATTTTATCACATTAAACCCCTAGCAGAAGCCGTGAGCCATACTCATTGACAGACTAATTACATTATCAAATATCTGACCAAGAAATTAAGTAGAAAGAATTCATATTAGCAGTTTAATTTAATACAGGCAGGGCAAACTGGTTATCCCAAAACTCTAGGGAATTTGCTAAAATCTGTCATCAGCTGAATTTTACTACATACTATTTTGGAACTAGTGTTGAAATATCAAATCTTACCTGCTGTCTTCAAGGTTCACAGTTTAGGATCCTTTTGCATTGGCTCTCAGAAACAGGCTCCAGGTCTTCAATAAATGTATCTACGAGTCCCTTGGAGAGCTAACCTTCATTGGTGAGCTGCCGAGCAAATCAAGATACCTTGGAGATTTTTATATGTGCTTGCTCTCTAGGCAAGCTTCTTTGCAAAAATGGATTGCTGCTATTTTCAAGAGGGGAGAGGGCGGGGCAGGGCACATCTGCTAGCCAATATATACAGAGTCTTCTTCCTCTTTCAGATTAGTCCTCAAACTGTTTAAAGTATGCCAGAGTTTGGCTTCTCTGATGCAAATTGGGGGAGGAGAATGATCAGAGAAGGAGGAAAAATAGAAACTGGAGAATTGCTGTTTGTATATATAAATGAGCTTTTATCCCTAGCTCCAGCAATAAAATGTCAGGAAAATCATGCAGCTGCTCTGAGATGGGAAGCTGCAGGGAGAAGTAAGTGTGTTCTGCTTAGTTCAATTCTCTCTCATTTTTATGTCTGGAGGGTGATTAGACTACTTGTAGGCGGGGTAAGATAATCCTATCAGTATATGCTAATATAACTGGCATTACGTGAAACTTGATCTTAAGCAAGATAAATTTTATCTCCTCGGTTGTGTGCACTCTTGTTCTCTCTCCACTCCCTTCTTTATGACACTTGGCACTTGGAGCTCTATCCACATTCAGAAAAACCATTCCCTTTCTGTCTTATGTTTTGGAAAAATTGAGTACCTTAGTTTAAGCTGTTTCCTAAAATCTTCACAATAATAAATTGCCTCCATTGGATTAAAAGTAGTTTCTCCCATCCCACTGAGATGGTTTGGAATTACTGGGCTTGCTGTCAGTGGTTCTGTGTTAGGAATTTAGGGACCAGATAAGTGTTCTTGGTCTTTGGTTGAGCTCTGAGATATTGGAGCTGTGGGATGCTAATTCTGGCTTTTGGAGAGTGGAGATGTATCAACCTAGTATCTTGATTGGAGTTCAGGGTGGAACCTTGATGTTGCAAACTGAATGGGTAAGATTATGATTTAAGTTTGTTACATGAATTATGTTGAGTTATATTAAGAAGGTTCTAAACTTGGAATGGAACCACCATTTGACCCAGCTATCCCACTCCTCAGTTTATACCCAAAGGACTTAACAACAGCATACTACAGGGACACAGCCATATCAATGTTTGTAGCAGCACAATTCCCAGATGCCCTTCGATAGATGAATGGATAGGGAAATTTTGGTATATATACACAATGGAACACTACTCTGTTTTAAAAGAGAATAAAATCATGACATTTGAGGTAAATGGTTGAAGTAGAAGAATATAATGCTAAGTGAAGCAAGCCAATTGCAAAAACCCAAAAGTTGAATGTTTTCTTTGATATGAGGGTGCTGACTCATAATGGCAATGGGGGGGGGGCATGGGAGAAATAGAGGAA